ACAAGTCTATGCAATTCTCACAGCACACACACCAGAGCTCAGTGGGAATAAAAAAAAGGTGTGTGTGTTTATATTTTTGCACAGAAATCGGGTTTTTGTTTTTTATTTTTAGTACGAGTACCAAAACTTGTGCTCAAATACTCAGCAATATTAATTACCGATACCTTTGTGGTGCGATTTGAGCCCATACAAAACGAATGGGCTCAAGTCGCACTGCAAAGAACTGCACGTGATTTGAACAGAAATGCGCTGTGATTCGAGCCCAAATCACATGCGGTTTCCCTGTGGGAGCGGTGCGATTTGAGCCATAAAATGTGGCACTAGAACGGTGACTTTATCCCTATCAAAGCTCCACAAATCTTTTATACTTTATGATGCAATAAATGACCACACAATGGCTATTGACAAAAAAAGTATGTAAGGTACAAATGCAAAAACAGCATTTAACATTAGCTTTCTGCCATTTCAAGTCCTGCTTCTTCTAACACCATGTCTATTGTGGGGCCTATTGGGATTTTGATCTGTGAACTTTAAAGAGGAGCTTCAGTCGGTTTTCTGAAAATTATAAGTCAGCAGCTACAAAAACTGTAGCTGATTACTTTGAATAATCAGACACTTACCTGTACCAGGATCCAGCAATGTGCTCACCCGAGGGGGAACCGGGGACTGTGTTCAGTCCTTGGCACCTGCTTCTTGACTGTGGTTAGGGAGGTCCTGGAAGACTGCAAAACCATTCACAATGTGCAGAGCGACTTGTGCATGTGAAGTGGGCACCCAGATGTGAAGCCGCAAGCTGTCACAGCCGAGTGCCCACTGAGCATATGTGAGCCACTATGAATGGTCCCGTAATTTTCCAAGACCTGAGAGGGAAGGGGCGAAGGATAACTTCCGCTTAGATCGCCTAGGTAGTTCGATTGGAAGTGGAAGCAGGTGCCAGTCAAAGCCAGACCCTATCACAACCCCCCCCCTCCAAACATGCCAAATGTCAGAGAACCCAGACAGGAGGCCTTAAAGCAAAACTTCTCATTTTGGGTGGAGTTCCATTCAGGGCTGTGGAGTCGGAGGAAATATTGGGTACCTGGAATCAGAGTCGGCAAACAATGCTCTGACTCCGATTAAATTTAGATTGGAATTAAAAAAAAGCAAGTTTAAATGTCCCAATTCACAAAAAGTTATAATTAATGACTTCTCTACTGTAAGAATAAAGACCAATGCATGCAGTGCCTCCGTAACCGCAAAACGAACACATTAAGTGACCGTGAAGAAGCATGCTTTTCATGTGCTTCACTATATGGCACGCAACGCACAATTAGGAGCGGCAATACTTATACTTTCCATAGTGTTGTGTTCTGCTGTTACAGGGAATGCAGTGCCCATGGGTAACCTAGCCTCTCACTGATAAGGGATTAAGAGCTGGAGAACCTTCTTTTTCACCCCTTCACTGTCACCAAGAGGTTGCAATGTGACGATCTAACCTGGGGTAAATTCCTCTTGGAATGGAAGAGCCTGTTATATCGCCTGAACAAAAATGGAGGGTTAATAGCTGAGGGCATTGCATCTTCAATGATGAAAAGAGAGAGTCTTTTGCTGGAAAATGAAATCTTGTTAGCGGCTATTTATGTCGACCCAATGAGCCGAATTTTGTTGAACAGTGAACAGACTGCTACTGGGAAAAAGGCCCTCTATGATGTAGCAGTTCATCCTGTGGAGGTATTTCAGGTCGTAATCCCTTCATGCGAAGTTCTTTTAAGCAATAGTGGTAACTCAGGATCATCTTCTTCAAACGAAGAATTAGACTTTGATTCCTTCTTAAACAAAATAGAAGTTGCTAAACGAAAGCGACGTTGCATAAGCGTTACAGAACCAGTAAATGTCCAAATAAAAAAATTCCAACAGGAGTTTTATAAAGCACTAGAAGAAGTTGAAAAGTATGATCGCTCATCAAAACTTACTGTTGAAGAAGCCATCCTTGTTTATCCAGAGATCGTTAGTGATGTGGCCAGAATAGTTACTGCAATACCACCCACTCAAGTCAGCGTCGAAAGATTATTTTCAGCCCTAAAAATAATAAAGTCTGACTTAAGAGCCTCTATGAAAGAGGATCTGGCAGAGGCAATTCTCTTCCTTAGAACTCTACATTGAATTGATTTGCATTTGCTAAGCCTATAACTACATTTCAAGATTAATATAAACCATTTCTAGGTTTTACAGATTTTGTTTTTGGTTAATATAGATAAGCTTTGTTTTTGTTCTAAAACAACCAAATAATGTGGTTTGTATTTTTGGACTGGTAAAGTTCCTGTTCCTGATGTTTATGCCTGCTGCTACTATCCAGCCACTTGATTAATTAATTAAAAAAAATTAATAAAACTTTGTTGTTTTCATTGTGTTTGTCTTTTGCTTAAACTGTTCAATACAGTAGACTGTTGGCTTCCCAGCCAGTAGTCCTGTGGTAATGACATGTATGTTGCCTTTCTTTCCTTCAAGGAATGTATAAAATACATTCGCATATTAATACAGAGGAGTCGGACAGAGGAGCTGACACTGAACAGCCATTCCTAGGTAGGCGATTTAGTGTTAGTGTTATCTAGGATCCATACCTTTATTCATATAAAATGAAAGGAACTGATTTGCAAAGCACGTTGCTAGGAGGCACATGGATGAAAGGAACACTACTGCAACTCCCTCCTCATTTGATTACCTGACATTCAAGTGTAAGCTCTAACAAGCAGGGCCTTAGATTTCCTCCTGCTCTCAAGCACCCTTGTCTCCTCCTCCCCGAATGCTTGCTACTGGGACTTCTCCCCTAAGCCTTTTCCATCCTATGGAACACTACCCCAATCTATCCAACTGTCTGCTATTCTGCCCACCTTTAGGAGATCCCTGAAAACGCTTTTCTTCAGACAAATCTATCCTGCCCTCCCTAACAGCTGTATCTCCACTTTTCTATATCAGCTCATCCCCCACAGTTATTAGCATTTTTATCACTTGTCAGAGTCACCGCCAATCACGCGGACGTCCGGTGATTGGCGGTGACTCTGTGGAACAAGATTTACATGTATTGGATAGAAGCTGGTATAAGGAGGATTGGAGGAGGTGATAACCCCAGGAGGGGAATTAGGAGATCCTTAGAGAGCTGGTCAGGATATCTACTCATGAGCAGCTGCACAAGGAGATAAAGGAGAGAACAGGAGAACCCCTATAGATCCACACCTACCTTCTGGAACAGCTTGTATAAGAGTATCATCCCATCAATCCTGGAAGGATTAAAAGCGTATTTGCTTGGATTTATTCAGGCAAATATTAAGGTGAGCGCATAGGGAGACCACTAAGCACTCGGCGAGAGGGAATAAGGAATCCACCTGCACACTGCACTTTATTTTGAAAGACTTTTGATATTACTATTTTACTATATGCACGTGCACACTTTTATATGCTTTTGCACAATATAAATGGAGTGATCACAGTAGATCAGAGGGGCACTTATTTAGATTATATGGATTTGTATTTATTTGTTAATTTTCACAGTCACAACCAATTTAGGATTGATTGTTATCAGTCACATGTATGAAGGTTCTTGATTTATTTATATTTATATAATTTGCTTGATTCCCTAGTCATAGTGATTCACTATCAATTTATTACTGTTATTTTTATTTTTATTTAATAACTGTATGTATTGGTCACAGAGATTTATGAATTGTTATAGATAAAATTTCATGCACCTCTAGGAGTAAGATATATATATATGAGTTAATAGGAGCGCGGCACTATTTATTATAACATTGTATATACACTAGCAAGTGAGTCGGTGCAAGTGCCAGCGCACCAAACACATCATATAAGAGGATAACTATATATTACCCACTGAATACCTCATTTCATAATAGCTCACAAGTATTCACCATTTATAAAAAAAAATCCAATTATATATCTGTAAAATGTATTTTTTAATCCCACTTGTGTATAGTACCAGAATACTTTTTTGCCTCCTGTAATCTCCAGAACAGAGACTCAGAATGAGGGAGTGGTAGCAGTGTCAGCCAGTCAGGACTTTTACACTGAATAGCTCTGTCAATCCTCCATTGTGTAACAGGAGAAGAAAGCAGAATGATGGTCTTGTTAGTGTGATGTTCCTTCATCAACTACTCACCAGGCTGAATGCAGGTCTGTGACTATGCTGTACTGCTTAGCTGCAAAGCAATAGGTCGATGACCTGACTATCGTTGGTAGAATTGCAAATGTTTGCCATAATGGGCAAGTCACATAAATGTTAAATGTATATTATATAATGGGCATATATATATATATATATATATATATTATATATATATATATATATATATATATGCTTGAATGAAGACCGTATCATTCAATAGTGAATAACCACCACCATCCCTCAGTGAACTGCTCAGTGAGTTAGTTGCTGCCACTACAGGAGCACAAACACCAATATTGCCCAGCAGGGATGTGTGTCTCTCATAACAATCAATTAGTGAACAGCATCCTCCTTGTCCAGATTCTCCTCTGCTGCCACACTTCCAGCAATGTCTCCTCTTTGCTTCCTCCTACAGGAGACATTGCTGGAAGTGGCAGCAGAGGTCTGCTGATATAGGGTAGCCAGATCATGTGACAGCACCAGTGTGGGCTGAAAATAGGTTAGTGTGTTCATCTTTTAACACAGGTTAGCCAGCATAGGTTATAGCGGATATTGAGACACATTTACTTTAACACAAAAGGAAACAAAGAGCTTTGTTGACCTGCTTGGGTGCAATCTGTAAATGTTCGACAACACCCAACTAAATAAACCTTATAGATTCAGAATTTTATTTTTGGATGTGGGAAGGGAAGGGGTGCTCTGTAGAAAAGTCAGTATTGGCATACAACATGTACCTTCGGTCCATTTACATAAGCTATAGCCAAGAACACTCAGAATATTATATGTTGATGCTGGTTTAATATTTCAAATAAAGGGTACATTTTAATCCTATCCCACATACCTCTTCTGTGATCTCCAGGACGTCCCCAGTTTTAAGTTCCAGTTCATCTTCATTTTGAGGAATGTAGTCAAAAAGAACTTTGCACTGCCTCTTTTTGGACTCTAAAAACAACACAAAGTGGCATTAGCATTATGCACTGCACATTTCAAAGTACTCATCAGAAACTGTTCCACCTAAGGCAGCCCATACAAGACCTGATTCCCCCATCCACACATTGAAGGTGGATGGGAGAATCATTCCCGCTGAGCTATTGTGTTCTAACAGCAGAGAGACTTCCCCAGTATCAGAATACACTAATCAGTGCAGCTAGCTATAGCCAGCGGTGCTGATCAATCGAGAAAACAACAGGGTGGTTGCATAAAAATCGACTGGTAAATCGACCTTTGTACTGTCACTATCCCCATACATAGATCAAAATTCAGCCAGTCCCTTCTGGACCAGCAGAATTTCAATCCATGTATGGCTGGCTTAACCATTTGCCATCCAGAGGAGTTACCCCCCTTCCTTACTAGGCCTCTTTTTGCTACTCGGCGCTGCACTAATTCAACTGATAATTGCGCGGTCATGCAATGCTGCACCCAAACAAAATTTATGTCCTTTTTTTCGCACAAATAGAGCTTTCTTTCGGTGTAATTTGATCACCTGTGCGCTTTTTATTTTTCACGCTATAAACAAAAAAAGGCCAAACATTTTGAAGAAAAACAATATTTTTTACTTTCAGCTATAAAAAATATATAGTAAACTCAAAGTTGGTTATAAATTTAGGACAAAATGTATTCTGCTATGTGTTTTTGGTAAAAAAAATCCCAATAAGTGTATATTGATTGCTTTGTGTGGAAGTTACAGCGTCTACAAACTATGGTATAGATACTGCAATTTACGCCTTTTTTTTTGCTATACAAGTTTAACAGACAATTGCGCGGTCATGCAATACGGTACATAAATGAAATTTATGTCCCTTTTTTCACACAAATAGAGCTTTCTTTTGGTGGTATTTGATCACCTGTGCACTTTATTTTTGGTGATAGAAAGAAAAACATTTTTGAAGAAAAAAAAATGTTTTTTGAAAAACACAATATTTTCTCATTTCGGTCATAAAAAAATATCCAAAAAAACTAAAATTTCGTCATAAATTTAGGCCAAAATGTATTCTGCTACATGTTTTTGGTTAAAAAAAATCCTAGTAAGTGTACATTTATTGCTTTGTGTGAAAGTTATAGCGTCTCCTAAGCCACCCTAAGCCAGTGGTTCTTAACCTTTTTGGAGGTACTGAACCCCACCAGTTTCATATGCGCATTCACCGAACCCTTCTTAACTGGAAAAATAAAATATGATTTTTAAAATTCAAAACATAGGTATATATTTATACATAGGTGCACAAAATGAACAAAACCATTAAGACCAAAGAACAAATATAGAGTCTACAAACTAATATATGGTATACAGTATATATTTCAAAACAGTATATATTTCAAAATATATATTATATATGATATATATATATATATAAATTAGAACTAGACATTCCCAATTATTTAAGATATAAGTGTGAAAAGGTTTGACAATTGAAAATATACATATAGTAATTCATCCCCCATAGTAATTAATCCCCCCTATAGTAATTCATCCCCCATATAGTAATTCAACCCCCATATAGTAATTCATCCCCCATATAGTAATACATCCCCCATATAGTAATACATCCCCCATATAGTAATTCATCCCCCATATAGTAATTCATCCCCCATATAGTAATTCATCCCCCATATAGTATTTCATCCCCCATATTAATTCATCCCTTATATAGTAGTAGTAAGTAAGTAGCAAGTAGTAAGCCAAGTCCCCCCTGTGTCAATTCACTTACCTTTGCTCCGCGCGTTCCTCTCGCCGTATTCCCGCGCCGTTCCGGTCTTCAGGGCGGACTGTGAGTGGAGCCTAGCTCCTCTCACGTTTGTCACGCTGCCCCGCCTACACACATCCTGACAGCCAATCACTGGCTATCAGGATGTGAGTGGCGAGACTGGCCAATCATTGCATTTGAGCGCGCTGCCCTGGCTGTTTTTTTTTTTTTTGGATCACGCTGCAGAGTCCCTGCCGCCCGAGAGGAGGGAGGGGAGCGGGCGCCCGGGCACACAAGAGCCGCATTAAAGCGTGTAAAGAGCCGCATGTGGCTCGCGAGCCGCGGCTTGCCGACCACTGGGCTAAGCGATGTTGCGTGACCACCTGCAGCCAATGATGGACAAGCGGGGCATGTCATCACGAATCATATGAGTCGGGTGTGGGTCTTCACCTCTGCCGAACCCGCGAGACTGACTCACTGAACCCCTGGGGTTTGATCGAACCCAGGTTAAGAACCACTGCCCTAAGCTATCTGCTGAAAGGCATGGAAGATTTATTTATTTTCCACAAGTTTCTGGAAAATGACAAACTTTTTTTTTTTTTTTTTTTTTTAAACACAAAGTTGTCATTTGAATGATTTATTTCTCGCACAAGCCATGGGTATATGTGGAATTACACCCAAAAATACATTCTGCTACTTCTACCGAGTAGGAGGATACCACACGTGTGAGACTTTTTGGGAGCCTAGCCACATACAGGAGCCTGAAATCCAATGACCACTTTGAAAGCCTGAAGGTGCATAACCTCCTCATTACACTTCCTCACTACCTATCACAGTTTCGAAGGCCCAAACATGACAGGATAGCACCAAACCCCCCCAAATGACCCCTTTCTGGAAAGTAGATACCCCAAGGAATTTAAAAAGAGGCATGGTGAGTATTTTGCAGATGTCATTTTTTCTCACAAGGTTTTGAAATATAAAAAAAAATAGAAAAAAATGTTTTTGTTTTTTTTTTATTCATTTTCCAAAAACTTGTGGCAACAAATGAGATCTGCAAAATGCTCACCATGCTTCTTATCAAAATTCCTTGGGGTGTCTACTTTCCAAAAAGGGGTCATTTGGGGGGGGTTAGGTGCTATCCTGGCATTTCAGGGCCTCCGAAACTGTGATAGGTAGTCAGGAAGTGTAATGAGGAAATAATGCCCTTTAAAAGCCTGAAGATGCTTATTGGATTTTGGGGTCCTGTACTTGGCTACACTGCCAAAACGTCTCTCACATGTGGTACCCCCATACTCGGTAGAAGTAGCAGAATGTATTTTGGGAAGTAAATCCACATATACCCATGGAATGTGTGAGCAGTAAATCATTTAAGTGACAATTTTGTGTAAAAAAAAAAAAAAAAAAAATTTGTCATTTTCAAAAAACTTGTGGTAAAAAAATAAATTCTTCTATTGATTCAACATTCCTCTCAGCAAATAGTTTGGCGTGTCTACTTTCCAAAAAGGGGTTGTTTTGGTGGGTGGGGGCATTCTATGCCCAACATTAGAAGTTTATGCCACACATCACTCACTCTTAACCACCTGAAGACCAAGCCTTTTCTGACACTTTTTGTTCACATGACAAAAATCAGTCTTTTTTGCTAGGAAATTAATTTAAACCCCAAGCATCATATATTTTTTAAAGCAAACACCATAGTGAATAAAATGGTGGGTACTACAATTTCCTATGGCACATAGTACTCGCGCAGCGATTTTTCAAACGCAATTTTTTTTTTTAAAAAATACACTTTTTACTTTTAATGCACAAAAACACAATATATTGGCCAATTATTTGGTAAAATATAAAAGATGATGGTATGCCGAGTAAATAGATACCAAACATGACATGCTTTAAAAACTGCGCATGCTCCCTGTGCAATGGCAACAAACTGCATACCTTTTGAATATCCATAGGCAATGTTTTAAAGCCTTTACAAGCTACCATTTAGATTTACAGAGGAGGTCTAGTGTTAGAATTACTGCCCTTGATCTGAGGTTCGTGGCGATACCTTACATGCATGGTGCAACTGCTGTTTCCATACTGGCACAGGGTCAACGCTCATGAATGCAGGTGCGCGCATGCGCGGGGGGCGAGGGTACTTTTTTTTTTCTTTTTAAGTTATTTTGATTTTTTTTAATTATTTTTACACTGTCCTTTTCATTTTTTTTTTGATCACTTTAATGCTATCACAGGGAATGCAAATATCCCCTATAACTTCAATGGGCATTGTTATATATTCTTTTTTGAGAAATCTGGGGTCTATCAGACTCTAGATATCTCCTCTGCCCTTACATTATCTAATCAAACCAAAATCGGTGTGATCAAATGCTTTCTCAATTTATAAATGGCGCTGTTTATATCCTGCAAAACTGAAGTGATGAAATGCTCGTAGCTTCCAAATTCTTAGGCTATAGAGATGATTAGCACCATTCTGGGCTCCAATCAGCTCTATGGTCAGCTGGCAGAAACACCGACTGCATCATTTAGTTTGCAATGTCAGTTCAGTGCACAAGATTTAGGTCAGGATCCACATAAATATGTACTTACCAAAAGAACAAACACATAAAAAAAAACCCAATGCAGCCACCAAGTCCGACAGGCTGTAATGATTAAATTATATATTTTTGCTCTTAGTTTTATAAACTTTTAAAGTCTCATGCACAAGGGCTCATTTGCCCATACAGCATAAAAAATAGTATAAAAACAGATGTATTTTGGTGCCTGGGAGGCACAGGTTGTGTATTTCAGCAGCCTGTCAAAATCAGTGATGGGCTGAAATATGCTTGGGCTATACGCATATCCACATGGTACTCTATTACTGGGCTTAAAGCGGAGCTGTACCCAAAAGGGGAAGTACCGCTTTAAAGACTGGTCTCCCACTTCCCATTAAGAATTGGCCCCTTTGGGGAGCGGGTACAAAAAATTGACAGGTAACCGCTCCCACTTGTGCTGCCGAAGCAGAAGTGGTTCTCCTACCCTCCCTCACCGTAGTCTTCTGGGACATGTGACAGGTCGCAGAAGACTATGGGGCCATTAAGAGAGCGCAGCGCTTCTCGTGCTTGCTCAGTGGGTACCCGGCTGCGAAGCCGCAAGCTATCACAGCCGGGTGTCCACTTATTTTTTTTTACAGTGTGAGTGGAACTCCGTTTCATGCATGTATGTATGCCCAGACCTCAGTCAGCGTTCAGGGCATGTGTCTCTCTAAACAATGGGGAAAGAACAAAAAGAACACATCTGGCCTTGTATACAAGTACCACTCTGATGTGTATACAGCCAATGTGTACTTCTGCCTGTTGGGCTGCATACACCACCACCTGTGTATCCTGGGTACCAAAGTATGTCAGTTTTTTTACACTGTACAGGCAAATGCACCTGTGTGCATGAGGCCTAATGCTTTAAAAACTGTGGTTTATGCTGCATACAGTTGCAAATATATATGAAGCCAAAATGCCCTGCCAGGGTCCCTCTACGAAGTGTAGTCCAAAACCCTAGTCTAACCAAGCTCCCACTTTGTGACATATACAGCAATAATTATAGAGCAGGCATGCCTTGGGGGTAGCCCCTTCCCTAAAGCTGTAGAAACACACCAGAAGACCAGATTACTAAATGTCCTGCCACTCCAGGGTTATTCTCATTCTAAAAGACAGAGAAACAGCAGAATCCCTGTTAAACCTTCATTGGCTTGAAACCAAACATTCCAGCACATTATCAGATCTGGGGCCTAGCAGCACGAGGGTTGCTGGTTCAAATCCCAAACATGGCACTGTGTGCCTGGAGTTTGCATGTTCTCCCTGAGCCTGCATGGGTTTCCTCTGGGTACTTCGGTTTCCTCCCACACTCCAAAGACATGCTGCTAGGTTAATTAGCTCATGTCTATATTAGCCCTAGTGTATGTGTATGAATGTGAGTTAGGGACCTTAGATTGTAAGGTCCTTGAGTGTTAGGGACTGATGTGAATGTACAATATACCTAAAGCACTGCGTAATTTGAAGGTGCCATATAAATACCTGGAATAAATAAAATTAAGAAACGTGTACAGTAATGCAATAATGCCCAACTACCTACACTGAACAACTTACTGTACATAAATATTTTTTTCAAGAACGAGAGGTTGGCTAAAGCAGCCAAATACTCCCTTTCTGCTGAATTTATCAGCATTAACAACATTTATATTCAAATACCATCCTTATCATTAAATCCTAAATGGAAATAATTGAATGCTGAGTGATAAGCTGGCCTCTATGCATTTCATCACAGGTAAACTGGTCTTGCAGAATAAAATCACTCATCTGTCTGTGACATGTATTTTTCATAACTCAGCAGTAGTCTATGACGACACACCACAGCTCTGCATGACAACTGACTGCTATTGTGTATAGCTATACATATTTTCCTTTCTATGAGTTGGGTATTGACAGACATCACATGCCCAAACAGCAGTGACCTCTACAGCCAAAAATAAGCCCATAGAGGAGCTCCACAAATTCTGATGTCGCAAGGTGGAATATACACCCTGTGCTTACGATATATGTTCCAGGAAGTGCATGGAGGACAGGAAGAAGTAATGCTTAGCTTTGGACATGTCAGTCACATACTTTTCTTAAAGGATTTGTTATGAGGAGGTGGTGGTCCAATCCCCGGAATGCCGTAAACACTCATCCGCTGCACCAGACTAGCCACGTTGCCAGGTTTCTCCCTTTTTGATACGTTCTCTTCCTTTGGTTCTGTATCTTTCTTAATTTCCTGTGGGGCACAAAAGTGGACAAGTTAGGTGACATCTCTGAAAATTACAATATACAAAAGCAGCAGCACCTCCCCCAACTGTTAAAGTGTCTGTAACCCCCAAAAAGGAAATAAAATCTTATAAATTTTTAAATAACGCTGTGTCCTTTGTTTACCAAAACTATCCGTTAGGAGAATTTGCTTGTGAACTAAGTTAGTCACTAGCAGCTCAACCTTTTTGGTGCCAACAATCTGTGGGCTCATACAGCCTCTGCAGCATTGCCTCCACAGTGTCTATACTCCTTCTATAGAGAATTCAAGGCTACTGCTAATTATGCTTAAAGTGATACTAAAACCAGGAGCCTGCATTCACTATATCTGGTCTCCCGGACCATTCACTATATATCTGGTCTCCCCGGACCCTGCATTCACTATATCTGGTCTCCCCGGACCCTGCATTCACTATATCTGGTCTCCCCCGGACCCCGCATTCACTATATCTGGTCTCCCAGGACCCCGCACTCACTATATCTGGTCTCCCCGGACCCCGCACTTCACTATATCTGGTCTCCCCAGGACCCCGCATTCACTATATCTGGGTCTCCCCAGGACCCCGCACTCACTATATCTGGTCTCCCTGGACCCTGCATTCACTATATCCGGTCTCCCCGGACCCTGCATTCACTATATCCGGTCTCCCCGGACCCTGCATTCACTATATCCGGTCTCCCCGGACCCTACATTCACTATATCTTGTCTCACCAGACCCTGAATTCACTATTATCTGGTCTCCCCCGGACCCTGCATTCACTATATCTGGTCTCCCCGGACCCTGCATTCACTATATCTGGTCTCCCCAGGTCCCTGCCTTCACTATATCTGGTCTCCCAGGACCCCGCATTCACTATATCTGGTCTCCCAGGACGCCGCATTCACTATATCTGGTCTCCCCAGACCCTGCATTCACTATATCTGGTCTCCAAGGACCCTGCATTCACTATATCTGGTCTCCCAGGACCCCCGCATTCACTATATCTGGTCTCCCAGGACCCCGCATTCACTATATCTGGTCTCCCCGGACCCCGCATTCACTATATATCTGGTCTCCCAGGGACCCCGCATTCACTATATCTGGTGGTCTCCCCGGACCCCGCATTCACTATATCTGGTCTCCCCGGACCCTGCATTCACTATATCTGGTCTCCCCGGACCCTGCATTCACTATATCTGGTCTCCCCAGACCCTGCATTCACTATATGTGGTCTCCCCGGACCCTGCATTCACTATATGTGGTCTCCCCGGACCCCGCATTCACTATATCTGGTCTCCCCGGACCCTGCATTCACTATATCTGGTCTCCCCGGACCCTGCATTCACTATATCTGGTCTCCTACAGTACACACAACATGGAAATACAATTATTTTAGTAAATATAAAACTGCTAAATACTTTTTTCTCATCGGCACGTTAGAGCAGTCTTGTGACTTCAGCAGAGCACTGGTTAAAGCTTGTAGGAGGAGTTTTGTTTCTGCTCTAGGAGGATGTGAAACCTCTGACACTGTTTGGGGAGTGCCGATTGGCCCAGTGCTGATCACATGCACTCTCCCAGGAAAAAAAAAACCCTCTCGAGCAATACACACCAAACTGAGCATGTGCATGCGACTACGGATTCAGTCTGTATCAGGCGGTCATTTCAACAAGAGGAGGGGCAGAGAAGAAAGGATCAAACATCCTTTTTACACAATGTGGAGGATTAACCCCTTAGGTTCCACAGTGAGTATAATAAGTATGCTTTACTGCATATACAGACTGATTTTACTGTTGTGGGTTAGTAACACTTTAAAGTTTTACCAAACCCAGGACCCTGCATTCACTATATCCAGCTCCCACAGTACACAGAACATGAAAACACAATTATTTTAGTAAATATAAACTGCTAAACACCTTTCCTCAGCAGTTAGAGCCGTCTTGTGACTTCTATCAGTGTTCAGCCAAGCACTGGTTAAAGCTTGTAGGAAACGCTTTCTTCCTGCTTTAGGAGGATTCAGAACCCCTGACCTTTGTCGGGACAGTACTGACTGGCCCTGTGTTGATCACATACACTCTCCCAAGAAGATGAAAAAGAAAAAAAAAAAAAAAAACCACACCTCTTTAGCAATACACACCAAACTGAACATGTGCAGAGTGTCTCCACAAGATATGTCTTATCAGAAGATAAGAGTGGGACATTGGAACAAGGGGAGGATCATAGAGGTCAGGATCAAACTGCATTTTTACACAATGCAGAGGATTAACCCCATTGGTTCCACAGTATGTCAAGCATGCTTTACTGCATATACAGAGGGATTTTACAGTTGTGGGTTTAGTAACACTTTAAACCTGCTAACACCCATTTTAATCCTATTCTATCTACCCTGTAAAATGAATATGCTTATACTTACCTCTTCTGAGGCAGCTACCAGTAAAACTAACTTCAATCACACTGATTGGGAACAATTTACAGTGGATACCAATCATTCCATCACTATCTCGACTACAACATAACAATCACATAATTTCCACTTGTACATCCCATAGATGGCTGTAGAGTGCATTTAATACTGTAAATGCATGAAACATGTCTAGTATTTAATAAAAAAATAAAATCAGACTTTAAGAAAAACTAAAAATAATTTTTATACAACACACACACACACATATACACACACACACACACATTATATATATACACAACAACATAAAACAACACATTTAAATATATATATAAATACACACACACACACACACACACACACATACCACACACACAGGTGTACCTCGCTTTATCCTCAAGCTAAAAGAAAGTATCCTTTAGCTCAGGGAAATTGACAGCTAATTCTCTGAGCTATAGTGAAGAAAAGAAAAAAAGCCGTCAATTGCATTTAAAAATCGTCACGGACATACAATTTGTATTGCACAAAAAAATGCGTAAACCAAGGCGTTATTTTCAATGGATTTTCATTTGTAAACCGAAAATGACATTAATTGAGGCATTCGTAAACCGAGGTACACCTATATATATCTATCCTGTTTCCCCAAAAATAAGACCTACCCCAAATAAAAAGAACGTCGTTCCCCCACCTCCGGCACTGGCCCTGTGCACACAAATATCTACTGTCTCTTATAAACACAGAAGTGCAGCTTTCATGTTTGCAAGTGACAGTCCCTCTTGTAAGTAATCGCACCATCCGCTCCCACAGAACCTCCTTACCTCTGTACTCACTGTAGGACAGGGAAGGAACAAATATCTGTGGCGCAGTGTGCGGTGTGTCTAGGGGGGGCATCATCTCCTCCAGCAGCCTATTGATTGGAAGCCGATGCCCCAGGGGTGAACGCTGGCCAGTGGGGGAAGAGGCAGGGGAGTGAGTGCGCTTGGTGCACTGTGCGGGAAGATAGGACCCGAAATGGGAGTTACTATAGAGGACTGCTGCGTTTTGCAAAGCCAGCTAACCATATGAGGGCAGTGGAGGGGGAGCGGGGTATGCAAAGGTGAACTGCAGTCAGGTGTTGCCGAGGTATATTGATAGGTGAGTTGCAGACTGCAGACAGGGTGTATAGGTGAGCTGCGGCTGGGGGGGGGGGGGGGGGGGTGGGTGCAACCCACCTCTGCGCACCCCGGCCACAGCTCAGCTCCACACCCTCCCCTGTCTACAACTCACCCCTGCACCCTGTCTGAAACTCACCTGTCAATTCACTTTTGCACCACTTGACTGCAGCTCACAACTGTCATCAACCAGCCCTCTCTACAGTAACCCTCATCCACAACTTTTTATGTCCTTTTCCATCTTTATAAAGCTCCATTACCTTGTTATGTAGGACTTTTGACAGTTCTTTTCTGATCCCCATGGCTCAGTATCTAGCCTAGTCAGTGCTTCCACATAAGAGCTAACAAACTCATTGACTATTTATACACTGACACTAATTGCATTTTAAAAAGCCACAGATGTGGAACATTAACCTCTAATTGGCATTTTAACCCGTGTGTGTCTGTACCAAGGCCAAACATTCAAGGGTATGTAAACTTTTGATCAGGGCCATTTGGATGATTTCTGTTACCATTATGATTTAAAAAGGAGCCAAACAACTATTTGATAATAAATGGCTTCATATGATCATCATCCATGGAGGGTGAAACATCCTAGAGAAAGATTATACCTTCTCTCTGGCGCATAGATCGTACTCATATCTGGATTATACAATGATCGAGCATAGACAACTGGACTCATTGGTTAAATCTAATATAGAAGTTTTGTCTATCTCGGATCATGTTCCAATCACAAGGACATTAAAGATAGGAAGACAACGGAACAAAAAGGGCAATGTGGAGACTAAGTGACACACTTATACAGGACCCTGAAATAGAAAGGAGGCTAAGGGAGGAAATAGAGCAGTTTGTTCTGATAAATGAAACTGAGGAAGTCTCTGTGGTCACTACTTGGGATGCACATAAGGCATATGTGAGGGTAATCCTGATAGCTGCAGAAGCCCCCCCCAAAAAAAAGAAAGCTCGTGAGAGAAAAATAAAGGAGGTGACGGAGGAACTATATAGATTAGAACAGGCATTTAAAAAGAAACAGGACACAGAGGTTCATTCAAAGATCATACATAAGAGTTAAAAGACCTATTGGAACATGAATAAAGGAGAATTTTCAATAGGGTTTTAAAGGAAAGATACCAGTGGGGAAATAAACCAGGAACATATCTGATGAAGAGATTCAAAGAAAAGAAATCAAAAAATTATATTGACAAAATTAAGGATGAAAAAGGAAAACTGGTCTACTCCACCACTGATATTGCTGTAACATTCCAAAAATTCTATAGTAGGCTGTATGATGTAAAATCTAAGATCCCGAACGTTACAGAGGAAGAAAAGAGGGGGAAACGGCTGGATTACCTAAAGGCAGCAGACCTGCCAAAAATATCAAATGAAAAATTTGTGTCTTTAGCATAAGCGATTTCCCAGGAAGAAATTAATAAGGTCCTGAAGAATACAGCAGGAAGGAAGAGCCCAGGACCTGATGGGTACACAATGGGGTATTATCAGAAATTTAGAGAGATATTGGTCCCTAAGTTTTATCCATATATGAATGCCTTAGGAGAGGGAATGGGAATAAGAGTAGAATCATTGCAAGCATATATAACAATCATCCTAAAAGAAGGAAAGGATAGCTCACAATGTGCTAGCTATAGACCTTTTAAATACAGACACAAAACTGTTTGCGAAGCTGCAAATCGGGAAAGCAGGGAATGGAGATTAGGAAGTGTAGTTATCGGGTTGGTCGTAGTTATCTAAGCTAAAGCACTGAGCAAACTGTTTGCACTATATAAATCCTGTGTAATAATAATAATAATAATAATCATCATTATCTGCAAATAGTTTTACTTTATACGACGTTTCGGCGTAGGGAATTCCCGTGATATTTGGGTCCATGCGGATCACAATTGCCAGGGGCTTATGGTCCAAGATAAAGAGGGTCGGGGAAAGAGGGCATCCTTGGCGGGTTCACCTGGCTATAGGGAAAGTGTCAGAGGAAATAAGCATAACAGACCGAAGGGGGTAGAATATAACACTGAGAGGCAGGCTAAAAAGGAGCACCCAAAGCCCCATCGAGTTAAGACGTAGTGGAGGTAATCCCAGGAGAGGGTGGTGAATGCTTTTTAAATATCTAACGAGAGGAGGAACCCAGAAATATTGCGTTGATTCATTAGAGAA